GCTCCTCCTCCTCCTCCTCCTCCTCCTCCCCCTCTCCCCCTCTCGATCCCCTCTGCTCTCGACATCGCTTCCCCCCCGCCGCGGCACCAGACACATCCGCAGACTGGGCCAGGCGCTTCGCCTGCAACGTCCTCTCGACTTACCACCCCGAAGAGAACAGTTCCGACCCGCTCCCCCGAAGGGCCAGCGCCTCGCCCTGGCCGGCGACTCCGAAGGGCATGGCTTGCAAAAAGGGTGTGGCTTACCACCGACCGGCACCCTGGGGAGCACCCTGGGGGGGCGGGCGGGGACACCGACGGAGTTCTCTGAAAGGGGCCCACAGGCACACAAACAGTTAGATACACAGAAACCCCAGGATCCCCCTTCTGTTCACATACTTTCTGGGTTTCTGTCTTCTCCCCCCCCCGCTTCCCATATTTTCGCATAATTTTCCTGGGACTCGACGATTTGCTGTGTCTGTGTTTTTGTTCCCCCTCCTGACTCTCCGCCGCGCCCCGAGGAGGCCCGACGAGGACGGCGTCGCGCCACCCAGGCCCCACCGGCGCCGGTCGCAAGCCAAGCCCCGGCGTAAGCACACCCTCTGTGGTCGCCCACCTGGGCACACGTCGGTCATTTCAAAATCGTGCTCGCTTCTGATTGTGCTCGTGTCTCATTGTTCCTGGCCCCCTAGTGGCCAGGAAGAGGCCCAGAATAGAACAGTTGGACATGAAAGGGCCTTCTAAGTCTGGGTCCGAGAGCAGGGTGTTGCTCGCAGTGTCCCTGGTCCCAGGTGCCCCCGGGACTTCCAAGGAGGCCCGGGCGGCCTCCAGAGCACCCCTCGCGAGGCCCAGAGGGCCCCAGGGACTCCCAGACGGAGCGGAAACCTGGGAGCACCTTGGGCCAGGGGCACCTCCTCCCACTCCTCCTCCTCCTCCTCCTCCTCCTCACTCCTCCTCCCCTCCTCCTCCTCCTCCTCTCCTCCTCCTCCTCCTCTTCCATCCTCCTCCTCCTCCTCCTCCTCATCATCCTCCCCCCCTCCACTCCTCCTCCTCCTCCTCCTCCTCTCCTCCTCACGACCCTCCTCCTTATCCTCCTCCTCCTCCCGTCCTCCTCTCCTCCTCCTCTCCTCCTCCTCCCTCCTCCTCCTCCTCCTCCTCCTCCTCCTCCTCCTCCTCCTCCTCCCTCCTCCTCCTCTCCTCCTCCTCCTCCTTCCTCCTCCCCCTCCTCTCCTCCTCCTCCTCCTCCTCCTCCTCCTGCTCCCTGCTCCTGTTCCTGCTTCTGCTTCTGCTCCTGTTCCTGCTCCCGCTCCTGCTTCTGCTCCTCGTCGTCGTCGTCGTCGTCGTCGTCGTCCTCCTCCTCCTCCTCCTCCTCCTCCTCCTCCTCCTCCCTTGACGCCCCCCGAGAGAGCGAGCCCCGTGCCTGGGTCCCTCGCGAGGGGAGCCCACCGCCGCGTCGGCGGCGCCCAGGGCGTCCGGCGGCAGCACCGGCCCGTCGGCATCTCCGTCGCCCGCGCTGGTGGCTCGCGCCGGCTCAGGCGGCGCGACGGCCACGAGGTACATCGGCTCCAGGGAGGCCTCACGAGAAGAGGGCCAGGAGCGCCCTCCTCCTCCTCCTCCCTCCTCCTCCTCCTCCTCCTCTCCTATTCCTCCTCCTCCTCCTCTCTCCGCGCCGCCGCCGCCGCTGCCGCCGCCGCGCGCCGCCGCCTTCGCCCCAAGAGCTCCCAGAGGGCCGCAAGCGGCTTGCCTCCTCCTCCTCCTCCTCCTCCTCCTCCTCTTCCTCCTCCTCCTGCTCGTGCTCCTCCTCCTCCTCCTCCTCCTCCTCCTCCTCCTCCTCCTCCTCCTCCTCCTCCTCCTCCTCCCTCTCCTCCTCCCAGCGCAATCCCGCGGGCCCCAGGGGACGGCCCGATGAGTTCCCAAGGATCTCTTTCGGCTAATGCTCTGGTTGCCCGCCGTTGTTTCGATAAATGTGTCTCTTCGTCCCTTGGCCCGTCAGCTCTGATGAGCAGAGCTTCTGAACGGGCTGGTGGGGATACTTTTGATCGCGAGCGCACCGGGAACGCCGGACGCCGTCCGAGAAACTGGTGGGGAATTTTTTGGGTCAACAGGCTCGCGAGGCGGGTCGAAAGCCGTCCGAACACTAGTCGGGCTGCGACTAGGCAGCAGGAGAAGAAAGGCAAGCGAAGCGAGCGAGCGGGCAACCACTCAGGAGGAGAGCCAGAACCGATACTCCCAAACCCAGTGGCGTTGGAAATCCCGGTGGCGACCTCCCAGTGACGTAGTGGTCCCCCTTAGCACCGCGCAGAACTAAGAGCCCCAGGGTACACTCGAGTTGAACAATCTGGCAACGTCCGATGTCCTCGAAGGGAGCAGGGCGAAGGGGGCCTTCGAGAAAAGGCAGGGGAGGTTCTTGGAAGGAACTGGCCCCACCTCCTGGAGGCCCCCACGAGAGCTTGCAGGAAGGCTTCAACATGGCGGGGTGCCTTCTGAGAAGGCCGTCTCCTCGCCCTGTCCCCTGAACACGCGCCGCCAAGGTTTCGTTCGTATGGCCCGTGGTGCGGAGCCATACGAGTGCTTGGGTCGAAAGCTCTGGGCCCCAGAAGCCAAACTTGCAGGCGACGCCAGAAAAGCACGACGGGGGCATTCCTGAGCGATTTCGGGCTCTCGGCCGTTGCTGGACTCACGACTCACGGACAATTGAAACTCCTCTGATGCATGTTTGACCCAGGAATGGGGAGGACCATGGGAATCTGGATCATGATGAGAAGGAACGCAATTAGGAGGAGAAGGGGAGAAGGAGGAGGACAGCTCCTCGTTGTCCTCCTCGTCCTGCTCCTCCTCGAGGCCATGGCTTGGATCACGTCGGACTCGTGCTCCCCTTCTCTCCGCCTTCACCTTCCCCCTCCTCCTCCTCCTCGCTTCGACCTAAACCAGTTACTCCACCTCCACCTCATCCGTCTTCGCTGCTACTCCTCGTCCTCCCTCCTCGTTCCTATTCCTACTGTGCGCCCTCATTCCTTCCATCTCGCTCCTCGCCCTCGCTCCTCCCTCGTGCTCCCCCCCCTTCCCCGGCGCCTTGGCCAAGGCCAGGTCGGATTCCGACCCGCGGGCGCAGCCTCCCAGCGGCGCCCAGGGGAACTCCTCGTCCCCGGCGCCTGTTTCTTTGTTTTGGCCATGTGTGCGCGTGGTGGTGGTGGTGGTGGGAGAGGGGGGGGGGGGCGGAAGTTGGGAGGAGGAGGAGGAGGAAAAGGAGGAAGATGAGGCTCAGTGTAGGCCCAAGACGCACCAACCATGTTGCAATACACCCTCCATCCAGGCTCCCATCTTCATAAGTCACAACAACAATTGATAGTCGTTGCGGGAAAAGCATCGTTAGAAGGCAACCGCTTGAGAATTTTCAACCATGCCAAAACACCCCTCCCAAGACTTCAACGCCGTGGATCAACGTGACTTTTACGCCCTGGCAATCCGACATCGTGCCAAATCGCCGTTCCTTGGACTTCAAAGCCGCGAACCATCGTGACTGGTAAATCTTGACGCTCCTGAATCGTGCCATGCCACATGTTCCAGACTTCGATCGTACGAATCCTTGAAAGTGTTGGGATATATTCCAAAGAATGTGCGCAGCGCTGATGGCCAGGGCCACATTTTTAAAAGGCACCGCCCTCCATTCTTGAAGCAACTGTAAACGTTTAAGACGAATGGGCGCGGCGCCAAGGCGAGAACAACATGAAACACAACCGCCCGCCTTCCATCCTTGAAATTGCTGCACACAGTAAAGACGAGCGTGTGCGGCGCTAACGCGAAAACCATATCTTGAAAACCACCCGCTCGCAATCCGTGAAACTGGTGCAAACTATTGCGACGAACGTGAACGGCGCTAGCACGGGAACCACATGTTTAAAAGCACCCGCAGCCCATCCGCGAACTGCTGCAAACTTTGAAGACGAAAGGGTGCGGCGGTAAAGCGAGAACAACGTCTTGAAAAAGAAGCGCCCTCCATCCGTAAAACTGTTGCGAATTTCAAGTTTCAGGATCATGTGCGGCGAAGAAGTCTCATGCGAAACACCTGGCCCGCCCTACCGACACGTCCGGAGGTGCAACAGGGATGAGATTTGTTGTTTTATAAGGAAGAGGGACGGAGGAGAAGGAACATGGTGATGGAAAAAAGATGGGAAACGTTGAGCAGGAGGGTTTCTCGAACATCTCGGGAGGGGGACCCTGACATCCGACCTATTTTTTCTTGAACCGTCGGGGAGGAGGAAGAAAAAGGAGGAGGCGGAGAAGGGGGAGGAGAAGGAGAGGAGGAGAGGAACAAGAGAGAAGGAGTAGGAGTAGGAGTGGGAGGAGGAGGAGGAAGAGGAGGAGGAGGAGGAGGAGGAGGAGGCGGAGGAGGCCATCTACTGGTCGGTTTCCCTCGCCTCCTGGGGTAGCTCCCCCTCTTGGCTAGACTAGCCTATGCTGAAAATTGGCCCTTTCGCATGGAGGGCCTGTACAGGCGTCGGGTCATCCATCGAACGAACCTGACTTCTGCTTCGAACTTCGGTGCGAAGAGGAGGACGAGGAGGGGGAGATGATAGGAGGATGAAGAGGAACAGAAAGAGGAGGAAGAAAGAGGAGGGAGGAGGAGGTGGAGGAGGAAGATGGAGGATGATGCTGGGTAGTATATGTTGGTTTTGTATCATCGGCCGTTGCAGAAATAAGGACGAGGAGCGAGGGAGAGATGATGATGCTGATGCTGATGCTGATGCTGCTGATGACGATGGTGATGATGATGATGCCGATGCTGCTGATGATGATGCTGATGATGATGATGATGATGATGATGATGAGGGGGAGGAGTAAGGAGGATAATGAAACGAACGAGGACGAGGGATGATGATGAATATTTTGATACTGATGATGAGGATGAAGAGGTTTGTTTTGCAATCGGCCGTTGAAGAAGGAAGGAGGAGGAGAAGCGAGGGAAAGGGCATGAATCGCATGTGGAGGAAACGGAGGAAGGGGGGATGAAGAGGGACGAGGAGGGATGAAGAGGAGGAAGGAGGAGGAGGGAGGAGGAGGAGGAGGGAGGAGGAATACTATGGACGATGATGGGGAGAAGGACTAACACATAATCGACCGTGGAAGAAAAAAGTAAGCGATTGATTTTTTCTGATGTTGCTTATGATTATGATGAGGATGCTGCTGATGATGATGAGGGTGATGGCGGTGACGAGTACGATGATAATGATGACTGTGATTTTGGTGCTAATGAATGATGATGACTGTGATGAATATGAGGAGGAAAGAGGAGGAGGACTAGTGAACACCCAAGACGCATAAACGATGTCGCAAACCAACTCCCTCCCAGTTCTCTCTTCATATATACCCCCAAGAATCTGCACCGTTGGAAGTGCCCCCTTGGAAGACAATCGTCTGAGAATCATCGATCTGCCCAAACACGATTATTTGGACTTTGTTTCGGGGAGCAAGCAAGCAATGACTCATGGCGTCCTGCTGCAAAGTGTCGGTGTGAAGTTGAAGCAACTTTGCGAAATCTGGGGGGTATTACATCCGAGCGCCGATCAACCTCTGGACGTGAGCTCTGTGTTCTGGCCCAAAAGGGCGCGCTGCCCCCTATGAGGGCAACCTTCACTATGGGCACGCATCCCTGGAAAGCGCCCTCAGGAGACCGACGCGCGCCCCCCGCCCCCCCCACCCCCTCGGAGGACGAGGGAAAGGGTGAGACGGTGGGGACAGATGGGGCCTCCGCCAGAAGAATTCGTGCCACTGGGAGCCTCCCGCTTCCCACAAGCTTGTGATACCTAGCGCTCGTAGCCCAAACACTCTCGCCCCTCACTGGAGGCTGAACGCGCTGCCTACTCGTCTCCTCCCGCTCAACCCCGCTCCCACTCTGCCGCCCCCGATGCACGCGTGACGGAATCAAAGCTGTGTATCCCCCGTAGGTCCTGAGCTGCTGGCTAAACGCTGCTACGATGCTGCTTAATGCTGAAATCGAGTCTGCTACATTACAGCGCGTAGGCTTCACCTTGGTGTTGAATAGAACTGGGGCCTCATGCGCTGCCCCTGGCACCACCTCAGCTCCTTCCGTCACAAGATCTCCGATCCTCAGACGAGCTTCCCTTTGCCCTGGGCCTCGATCGTTCGGGAGACTTCTCTCGTCAGGGGACCACGGGGAGCGGCTCCTGTTTCGCGTGCGCCTTTGGAAACACTCGTGCTCTTCATGATCAACTGGCGGGGCCCGTCGCGTGCTCGTGGTGCGGGTCCAGGGCCCGCACGATCCTGCCCCTCGGCTCGTCGGCGTTCTGCTGCTTGCCGGAAGGGCAAAGCCAGCCCGGACCACCGCTGAGGCGTGTGCTTGCGCACGACGGCGCCTCAGAACTCCTTCCAGCCCTTGCGTAGATCCCCCATCGAACTTGTGCGCGGCTCACAGGGCGCCCACGGAGGAGATCTGCACGTGTGGCAGATACTCTGCCCCTGGGGCTGCTCCTCCTTCCGATATTTGCTCTGAGCGTCGTACTTCTTTCCAGCCTCGCGGAAGGACGCTGGCATGACGCCCGCGGCCCTGATTGATGCGCAACTCTCCGGTTATCCCCAGGCAGGCGGGAAAAGCCGTGGAAGAGATGACCAACCAGACGAGCGGAAGCGCCGCCCGTAGCTTGTGGTTGTCCCGACGCGACGTGCGGCCTTGTCCCCCCCTTCGAGTCGCGAGGCGAGGCCAGGTTCGAGACCTTGCCTGGACCGCCGCTGGAGGCGCGCGGGCGCCGGTGCGGCCAGCTCCCCTCTTTCGGGGGCGCGGGGCCGCAAGGACTTGAAACGAGGTGGATCTGGGGGAGGAGGAGGGGGATGAGGAGGGATAGGAGGAGGATGAGGAGGAGGAGGAGGAGGAGGAGAGGAGGAGGAGGAGGAGGAGGAGGAGGAGGGGCAGGGAGAGGGGGGGTGGGGGGGGGGAAGAAGGAGGAGGAGTGCCCCGCTCTCCCGCGGGGCCCCGACCCGGAGCGCTCCCTCCCTCCGCGGGCGGGTTTGCGTTTCGAACGAAGGAGGAGGAGGAGGAGGAGGAGGAGGAGGAGGAGGAGGAGGAGGAGGAGGAGGGGGATATTTACTTGGCCGCGGGCTAAAATCAAGCGCTAGCCCCCCCGAGCGCGCGTGGCAACGTGCGGGGGCCGCGCGAGGGACCGGGATGCGACATCGAGGGCCAGGGGAGACCGGCCACGGCAGGTGGAGGGGCCGACCGAGGAGGAGGCAGGGCACGAAGCCAACGGAGGGACAGCGCAACCCAACCGCGAAACAAACAAGCACGGCGGGGGCATTGAGTGAGGAATAATAATACTAGGCAACATAGAAGACCACTTCGTGAAATATTCCCCTGCTCGCGATAAGTACGTATACTACACTCGTAAGGAAGCCTTGGATACGGAATCCAGGGTCTGGAGGCCCGCGGAACTCCAATCGTGGATCGGCCCTGGATATCACCGCCGCCCTCATTGGATAAGGAATCCTCCTGGGTCTGGCGCCTCCTGGGACTATTCCTTAACAAACGCCTCCACCGTAAGCAAGCATGCAAGCTGGTACCGCTTCTTAAAACGATACAAGATTTGAATTCCTGATCCCTGACGGCGGCACCAGCTGCCGGACTTTCCTTCAGCATCCTCCCTCACGCAGTTTGCTCCTCATGGCCCAAGCCCCCCTCCCAACCACATCTATAACAATACATGAAAACAAGTAGGAGGCATGAGGAGAAGAGCGGAGAAACAGGGCAAGGTAGATTCAAGGCATGGCCCGCTCACCACCTTGAGGACAAGCTCGAAGTCGACGAGCTGCGGCAATGGGGGGTCCCGCAACTTGTCGCCACCACCTCCACCAAGAAATGTGCTCTGCCAACAGCCTCAGTTAACGTCAGGCGGACGATGGCTGTTGTGCGGGAAGCGGAGAGGCTGTAGCACAGCCAATTCGAGCCAACGTTGCGGCACGACTTGGCGTGATGTCCGCCAGGCCGCGCTCGAGGACCGAACGAATGCACCATGCGGCCCACGACCAAGACATATGTCACGGCCATCGGCATCGGGAAGATCACGGAGCTCGGGAGGCTCAGGGCCTTCTTCACCAGGTGGCACCCGAGCGCGACCCCCGCCATGAGGAAGATCACGGCGCACAGAGAGCCTGCAAACTCCTACGCAGGGCAGCGCGCGAGCATCAGGGGGTACACCATTGGCCGCATCAGGAGGCTCACGATGATCAAGATGATCAAGAAGTGAACGTCCAGATATGGAGCCTGCGACGATCGAGGAGACCATGGCCTTCTCTATCGAAAGGCTCACGAACAAGGGGAGCTGCACGGCGATCGGAAAACACAAGGCTGGTATGGGGCGCACGGCCATCCAGGAGCTCTCGAGAGCCAGGAAGCCCAATTTCCTCTCCGACAGGAAGCTTCCGACCGCGTCCGTCGGGAGGATCATAATCGGCAACTTCAGCAAGCTCAAGACTGTAAGGAAGCTCCTGGGCGTAGCCAGGCTGTCCATCACAACCGAGAAATTGAAAAATGATGAGGCTCAGGACGACCACGATCGATATCACGACGCTCATGTAGAACATCCATCGGCTGGTGAGCAGCAAAGACATATCAACATCCGACTGCAACTCCTGCCGCAACAAACAACGACACCCCTTGCAACTCGGAAGCGTGATGTGCCTCGTAACGTTGAACGCGTTGTCGAGGACGCACAGCTTCTTGGACGAAGACCATGAGATCCCCCCCGCACGACGGGCAAGCTTCGCTGTCTGCTGAAGTCACGAGCAACAGACACCAAACTCTGCACACCAGAGGCTCAGCATATCCCCGTGAAGGGAGCAAGCAACATCGGCCATCGATGTAAGTGAGATGCAATAGCAAGTTGCGGGCGCACGCCCATGCAATAGCTTGAGCCAAAAATGGCTGCGGACGAGGAGGGGAGGGGGAGGTGGGGGAGCGGGAGGTGGCGAGAAGGTGGGCGAGGAAAAGGAGAAGGAGGAGGAGGAGGAGAGGAGGAGGAGGAGGAGGAGGTGGAGGGAGGAGGAGGGGGGGAGGAGGAGGAGGAGGAGGAGGAGGAGGAGGAGGAGGAGGAGGAGGAGGAGGAGGAGGAGAAGAGGAGGAGGAAGACGAGGAGGAGGAGGAGGAGGAGGAGGAGGAGGAGGAGGAGGAGGAGGAGGAGGAGGAGGAGAAGAAGGGGGGTGCAGGGGGAGGAGGGAGAGGGAGGAGGAGGAGGAGGAGGAAGAGGAGGAGGAGGAGGAGAAAGGAGGAGGAGGAGGAGGAGGAGGAGGAGTAGGAGGAGGAGGAGGAGGGGAAGAGGGAGGAGGAGGAGGAGGAGGAGGAGGAGGAGGAGGAGGAGGAGGAGGAGGATGAGGAGGAGGCGGAGGAGGAGAAGGAGGAGGAGGGAGGAGGAGGAGGAGGAGGAGGAGGAGGAGGAGGGGTCAGGCGAGAGGAGAGAGGAGGGGCCCGTCTGCGTGCTGCAGCTGTCGGCGGCGCAGCCGTGCGGGCCGCCCTCCGCGGAGCCGGCGACCGCGGACAGCCGCCCGCTGCTGCCGCGGTCGTCCTCGGCAGGCGGGGGCGGGCCGCCGACGGCCGCCGAACGCCGCCGGAGGCCGCCCACGGCTGCCGAAGGCCGTCGGGGGCCGCCGGGGGGTGCACGCGCTGTTGGCGTGCGGCGCGCGCGCGCCGTGGAGGAGGAGGAGGAGGAGGAGGAGGAGGAGGAGGAGGAGGAGGAGGAGGAGGAGGAGGAGGCGGAGGAGGAGGAGGAGGAGGAGGAGGAGGGGAAGAGGGAGAAGGAGGAGGAGGAGGAGGAGGAGGAGGAGGAGGAGGAGGAGGAGGAGGAGGAGGAGCTGACGTTCGGGGCCTGATGGGCCCAGCTGGGCTGGAAGGTGCAAGGTCCTGGCCGGGACCCGCCTGCCCCAGGTCTCCGACGAGATCGGCTTGTGCGATCCGAGCGTTGTCCTCGATGCCAAGCCTCCTTCTCGGGCGGCCCCGGGGCTCTCAAAAACGGAGCCGGGACGAAAGACTGGCCTCGGGGGAGTGGGCGGGACCACTGGGGCCGCGCATTGGAAAAAAGCACATCGGCGGACGTCAAGGCCGGCGGCTGCAACAGGAGCGATTAGCTGGGGGGGTCTGGTCGCCCATGTCTTCGACGAGGCTGCCGAGCGACCGCGCGTCATTCCCGGCAATGGGCTGTCCACCCCTCTCGTCTCCGCCGGCAGCTGGGTGAGGCCTGCCTCCCGCGCGCCTCGCCGGCGCGAGCCAGCGGAACCCTCGGCGCGAAGCGGCAGAAACACGTCAACCCGGTTTTGCGTCGCCGCGCGGCAGACGCAGCCCGCACGCGCGCGCAGGCGGTCCCGGCAACGGAAGTGCGCAAAGCAACTGGCGGCAGGCGGAGGGGGAGGCGGGCGAGGGCGGCCGCGAGGGAGATGGGGTCGGAGGATCGCGCCGCGTCGCCGATGCATCACGGATGCATCACGGATGCATCGACGATGCATCGGCGACATCGGCGATGCACCGGCGACGCCAGCGTGGAGAACATCGGGCTCCACATCGAGCCGCATCGCCGATGCATCGACGATGCGGCGCGGTCCTCCGACCCCGTCTGCTCGGACCCCATCCAGGAGGCCTGGCAAGACCCTCGGAGGCCGAAGTTGGGATTTCTTGGGCGGCGGGCGACCAGTGACAACGGCAAAGGACGCGCCGCAGAGGCAAGGGCAGAAGTCGTTCATTTCTAATCGTGCTCATTTCTAAGTGCGCTCGCTTCTAATCATTCTTGGCCCCCCAGTGACCAGGAAGAGGCCCGGGACAGAAGAATTAGAAGTGAAAGGGGATTGCGCCCCAAAAAATCAGGGAGCATTCGAAGAATAAGAAACGAAGAATGGGTGCCCCAGATGAAGGCGCGCGTCCTGGCTGGGCGCGTGGACTGTACTGCATCTGGGCCATGTTGGCCCGGTGGGCGCACCCCGAGGCGGAGAAGAGTGCCGAACACCTCCCGCCGTGCTCGTCTCGCGACGAGGTCGCCATCGCTCGGACGTTCACTCCCCGTGCACTCTCCGATGTCGTGCGTGTCTTCTTCGCGAGATGGTCCAGGATGCTCCTCGATGGTCCTCGCCGAGGAACAGCGCACACGTCCCATCGATGCCGAGCGAGAGGATGTCATGGGGTGGGAGGAGGCAGGGGAGGCTCAGCACGAGGGGAGTCGGGGCGGTGGCGTGGGCTCCTCCTCCTCCTCCTCCTCCTCCTCGCTCCTCCTCCTCGCTCCTCTGGGGTCCGATGTCCAATCCCCAGCCATCTCCGATGTCCGGGGCCCCTCGATGTTGAACGCCCGCGCCGGCACTGCGGCCGCGCCGAGACTGTGCGAAGCTGCAGTAGGGGGGTAGGAAGTTAGCGAGGTTTGTGATTTGTTTGTGTGCACTTTAGCTGGCTCGCGAAGTTCATGGGTGAGGGGATGAGGAGGATGATGATGATGATGATGAGGAGGAGGAGGAGGAAGAGGAGGAGACGGAGGAGGAGCAGGAGGAGGAATCACGAGCGAACGAACGACCACTGAGGACAGGCGTTCGAGGCTACCTGAGGCCAGGCGAGCGAGGCCATAGCGAGAGAGCAGGAAGATGAGGCCGAGCGTCACCAAGGGATGAAGAGGAGTAGGAGTAGTAGGATGTGCGGGGGTAGACGAAGGAGCGAACGCCGCTTCGCAGGGCGTGAGTTCGGCCGCGCATGCGAGAGCCCACAACGAAATCAAAGCCGCCAGCCTGCGTGGGGGCGCCAGGCTGTGGCTCCTCTTGCTGGGCTGCCACCTTGCTGGTGCCACTTGTTCCCCACCATCCTATGGTGCTGGGTCCTCGTTTCGAAGAGACAGCCCCCCCGCGTCCCTCCTTCTCTCCCTCCTTCCTCCTCCCGCTCCTCCCTCCTCCCCCTCCTTGCCTCTGCCCTCTTCGTCGTCATCGTCATCGTCATCGTCATCGTCATCGTCGTCGTCATCGTCAGCATCATCGTCATCGTCATCATCATCATCATCACCATCATCATCATCATCATCATCATCATCATCATCATCATCATCATCAGCACCATCATCATCATCATCGTCATCATCAGCATCAGCATCAGCATCATCACCAGCATGATCCTGATGACTATCGACACCATCATCATCACCACCACCATCAGCATCATCATCAGCATCAACATCAGCATCGGACTCGGACTCGGACTCGGAATCGGCATCGGCATCGGCATCGGCATCGGCATCAGCATCAGCATCAGCATCAGCATCATCATCAACATCATCATCCTCATCCTCATCCTCATCCTCATCCTCATCCTCATCCTCATCATCATCATCCTAATCATCATCCTAATCATCATCATCATTATCAGCAGCATCATCACTATCATCATCACCATCACCATCACCATCACCATCACCATCACCATCACCATCATCATCATCATCATCATCATCATCATCATCATCATCATCATCATCGTCATCGTCATCATCATCTCACACTTCGGCATACCCCTCACACGTTTTGTGGCCCCATAGAAAGCTCCACCGAAGGCCCCTGTGGCAGTACCCACATGCGTCCCCGCCACCCATGTCGGCACACCCCGCAAACGCTTCGCGGCCCAATTGGGAGCTCCACTGGAGGCCCCAGTGGCGGTGCCCGCATGCGTCCCCGCCACCCATGTCGGCTCACCACATCACACTTTTCGCGGCCCAATTTGGAGCTCCTCAGAAGGCCCATGCGGCGGTGCCCACATGCGCCCCCGCCACCCATGTCGGTACACCCCTCATATGTTTCGTGGCCCAATTGGGAGCTCCACCGAAGGCCCCACTGGCGGTGCCCACATGCGTCCCCGCCACCCATGTCGGCTTACCCCGTCACACGTTTTGTGGCCTTGTCAGGAGCTCCACCGACGGCCCAAATGGCGGTGCCCACATGCGTCCGCGCCATCCGTGTCGGCCCCCCCCCCTCACACGTCTCGTGGTTCCATAGGGAGGAGCTCCACCGAAGGCCCAAGTGGCGGTGCCCACATGCGTCCGCGCAGCCCCTTTCGGCACACTCCTCACACGTTCCGTGGCCCCATAGGGAGCTCCACCGAAGGCCCCAGTGGCGGTGCACGCATGCGCCCCCGCCACACATTTCTGCACACCCATCACAAGTTTCGTGCCCCCATAGGGAGCTCCACCGACAGCCCCAGTGGCGGTGCCCACATGCGTCCCCGACACCCATGTCACGACTGCGTTACTCACAATGGCATCTGGTTGGGTCCCTTGTCAGGCAAATTTTCTTTCTCGTCGTAACTCCTGTGTACTGTGTCCTACCTCTCCAGTCCTGTCTCCTCTCTGATGTCTCCTGGGAGCACCCACGCTGTTCAAAACATGGGGAAGGGGGGGGAAGACGGAGGCGGAGGGAGGGGGGTGCGGAGGATAAGGACGGGGGTCCAGCATGACGAGGAGGGAGGAGGGATCAGGAGGATGAGCCGGAGAGAGGAGGAGGAGGAGGAGGAGGAGGAGGAGGAGGAGGAGGAGGAGGAGGAGGAGGAGGAGGAGGAGGAGGAGGAGGAGGAGGAGGGGAGGAGGAGGAAGGAGGAGGAGGAGGAGGAGGAGGAGGAGGAGGAGGAGGAGGAGGAGGAGGAGGAGGAGGAGGAAGAGGAAGGAGAAGAGGAGAAGAGGGGGAGAGGAGAAGCGGAGGAAGGAGGGCCCCAAGCAGGGGGCAGGCCAGGCACGCGCGGGCTATACATACACCCCCCTCAAAAGTGACCCTGCGCAAGAGTGGCACCCCTGCCTCGCGGCTGTAGCGGGGGCCGGGGGACCCCCTGTGGGCCCGCAGCTAGGGCAGGCGGAGCAGGAGGAGGAGGAGGAGGAGGAGGAGGAGGAGGAGGAGGAGGAGGAGGAGGAGTGTCCGTAGCCATTTTGGCTCAAGTCCGTAGCGTTTCGCTCAGTACTTGGCATTGTGGCCTGGGGGGATTGCGGCCCCCACTGCTTACCCAGGCGTCCGCCCGCCTGGCTCTCTTTCCCCAAGACCTTCTGTTTAAGAAACTCTCACTTTCACCGTTTTACGTCTGTCTCGCGATGGTGCCTGCCCATTCTTTCTCGTACGCGCCATGGGTCAAGTCCCAAGGAGCCGAGGAGCCGTGGGTCACAAAAGGCAGTCGGCGGGAGCAGAAGGGCACGGTGTACCCCAATTGTGGTTGCAAAAAAGAACAACGCCAACGCCGAGTTCTGTAAGCACTGTGCCTGTGCTCTTCCGACGCCTTTTCCTGCTTCTGGTCACGTTGTCAGTGGTCGCTAGGCTCTCACTGGTCCTCCAGGCTTCTGGTACGGGAACGGCTACAGCTCCAAAGGCTCGGGCAACCAGGGCTCGTTCGGGGGCAAAGGCAAAGGAGGTGTTCCCGGCGATGGGAAAGGTACAGGAAAAGGTTGTTTCGGAGGCGACCACACCATGTGGGACGCGTTGGTTCGCCAAGATGACGCACAGCGGGAAGATGCTGCTGGAGGAGGTGCCCCGCCACTTCCTGTGGGACCAGTGCCGTCCATCTCCGCCGCAGAGG